CAGGTGTTGGAGTTATCAGTTGCATCATACAGAGGGATGAAGGGCGACCACCTATGAGGCACTCCTTTCACTGGTCAACTGAAAAGCAGTATTTTGCCGAAGAACCTTTATTGAGACACCTAGAACCTCCACTTTCAATCTACCTTGAGCTGGTCTGTTTTCTTTCCTTCTTTTTTCTTATATCCTCTTTGGGTTCCTTAAATGATTTCAGTAGTGGTTTTTATTTTATTTTAAAATCTGAAGAAAGAAATCTTCTTTTTCTGTGTTGATTCAGGACAAGCTCAAAGGCTACGAGAACATACAATATACCCCATCAAGGGACAGACAATGGCATTTATACACAGTCATTGACAAGCCAGGGCCTATCAAGAGGATGTTTCTTAGATCACTTGTAAGGCAACCAAGTTCCACAGATGGGTTTACTGCTCATCAGGGATTGGGGATGGAGGCAGTCCGCACCCAAACAGCCTTGTCTTTTACTTCAAGAAGCATTTTGGGGTCTTTAGTGGCTGCAATGGAAGAATTGGAGCTTAATGTGCATAATGCTACCATTAAATCTGAGCATGCTCACATGTACCTCTGTATCTTACGCGAGCAAAATATAGAAGATCTTCTGCCTTATCCTAAGTGAGTCCCTGCACTCCCATTTAACCTTATTTATAAAAGGAATCCAGATGGATTTCTGAAAAGGTGAAATTTCTTTTGCAGAAGAGTGGATGATAGTGCTGGACAAGAAGAAGCTGTTGTCGAGATGGTATTGGAAGAATTAGCAAGGCAAATCCATGGACTTGCTGGTGTGAGAATGCACAGGTTAGGTGTTTGTGAGTGGGAAGTGAAACTTTGGATTGGCGCATATGGAGAAGCAAATGGTGCTTGGAGGGTCCTTGTTACCAATGTGACTGGCCATACATGTACTGTTCATGTAAGTGATCATAACTTAGGATCATCAAGTTATCACGTACCTCTCTTTGTTTTACATTTAAATAGGCACTGAGGTTTTATTTATTTGGACTCTTTGCTAACAATAAGTGACTCTTTAAATTTGAGTAGAAAGAAAAAAGTATTGTTGGGTTTAGAAACGTTGAGTTGATGGGATCTTAGTAATAAAAAAGTAAGTGATGGGATGGTATATAACTTGTTTAGTAACAAAGAAATGAGTGAGTTCTAGGAAATGATTATTGTCGGGATAAGTTTAAGAATATGTTTTTGACCAAACAAACTCCTAGTACCTTGATAATACTTGTGAAAGCGATTTAGTTATGCCAGTTTCAAATATCAGAATATGAGGAACTCCTACCACTCCATTACTATAGACCAAAACCCTTGCCAATGTAATTTTAACCTCTTTAGATTAATTTAACTAATTTGAACCTTTCTGGAGGGATATAAGCTACAGCATCAGCTTGTTTATTTTGATAAGACATAGATTCAATCGTTCTGTCTGTCTTAGCATGCATGTGAGAGCTGTTGAATGGCGAGGTAGGAAAATTCGATACTATCTTCCTTCCTAGTGACTAGTGTGTTTTGCTTCCTTGGGCAGTAATATGAACATATTTTTTCTTGAGTAGCAACTAACAGTGAATGGTACTACATACAGATTTACAGGGAACTAGAAGATACCTCCAAGCACAAAGTGGTATACCATTCAGTCTCTGCACAACAGGGTCGCCTCCATGGATTACCTGTGAGTGGATATTACCAGCCATTGGATGCTCTTGACAGAAAGCGTCTAGTGGCAAGAAGAAGCAATACCACTTACTGCTATGACTTCCCACTGGTTAGTCAAATTTCTTATTCATATCACTTCTCTTAGAGATTTCGAGTGAGTTGCATTGGTGGGTTCGCAGTTGGGTTAAATGGGTTGGTGGGTTTACGCGTTGGGCTTAATGGGGTTGTTTGCCTTCTTTGGAAATTTGTTGAAATTTTGTTGTGTATAACTCTCTGTTATTTGGACTGGCGTGATGAAAACTACATTTAAAATCTGGACCAGTTTGTAAAACCATGAAAGTTTTTCAGAAACCCATTAACCCAACCCCTTTACCCACCAACTCAATGTATACTGGTCAAATGAGTTTCCGTTAGATGGCGTTTAAATGGGTAGGTTTGGATTGATGTTTGTCACTTCTACCTTAACCTGTACAACAGTGATGAATGCTCATAGATACATACCCTTTTGTCTTCAGGCATTTGAGACGGCTCTTGAACAAATATGGTCATCTCAGTTCCCTGGATATGCAGTGCCAAAGGCTAAAGGGAGTCTTCTCAAAGCAAGCGAGCTTGTATTTTCTGACAAAAAGGGTCTCTGGGGGACTCCTCTAGTTTCCACTCAGCGCCCGCCCGGGCTTAACGATGTTGGGATGGTGGCATGGAGCATGGAAATGTCTACCCCTGAATTTCCTTCTGGAAGGACTATCATCCTCGTGGCCAATGACGTGACCTTCAAAGCTGGATCCTTCGGCCCAAAAGAGGATTCATTTTTCGCTGCAGTTACCGACCTTGCTTGCTCCAAGAAACTGCCGCTGATTTACTTGGCCGCAAATTCTGGCGCTCGTATTGGCGCGGCCGAGGAAGTCAAATCCTGCTTCAAAGTTGGGTGGTCGGATGAAACTTCTCCGGATCGTGGGTTTCAGTATGTGTACCTTACTCCAGAGGATTATAGCCGGATTGGTTCGTCCGTTATAGCACATGAGGTGAAGCTGGAAAAGACTGGCTCAACCAGGTGGGTCATAGATGCCATTGTAGGGAAAGAAGATGGTCTGGGAGTCGAGAATTTATCGGGTAGCGGAGCAATCGCAAGTGCATACTCGAGGGCATATCGCGAAACCTTCACTTTAACTTATGTCACCGGAAGAACTGTTGGTATTGGTGCTTACCTCGCTCGCCTGGGGATGCGCTGCATACAGAGGCTCGACCAGCCAATCATTCTGACTGGTTTCTCGGCACTTAACAAACTTCTGGGTCGTGAGGTTTACAGCTCACACATGCAACTCGGTGGCCCTAAAGTCATGGCAACAAATGGTGTGGTGCATCTTACAGTCTCTGATGATCTCGAAGGCGTAAATGCCATCTTGAAATGGCTGAGCTGCATACCTCCTTATAGGGGTGGCCCACTCCCCATCTTGAATAACCCTCTGGACCCTCCAGAGAGACACGTGGAGTACTTCCCTGAAAATTCATGCGATCCTCGTGCTGCCATTGCTGGTGCATTGAATGGCAGAGGAAAATGGGTGGGGGGTATTTTCGACAAGGATAGCTTTGTCGAGACACTCGAAGGCTGGGCTAGAACAGTAGTAACGGGCAGGGCAAAGCTGGGAGGAATCCCTGTAGGGATAGTGGCAGTAGAGACACAAACTGTAATGCAAGTGATTCCAGCTGACCCTGGGCAGCTCGATTCTCATGAGAGGGTTGTTCCCCAAGCTGGGCAAGTATGGTTTCCTGACTCTGCTACGAAAACAGCTCAAGCTATACTGGATTTCAATCAAGAGGAGCTCCCGCTTTTCATTCTGGCCAACTGGAGGGGGTTTTCTGGTGGGCAGAGGGATCTGTTTGAAGGAATCTTGCAGGCGGGTTCTAATATTGTTGAAAATCTGCGGACTTACAAACAGCCTGTTTTTGTTTATATACCGATGATGGGGGAGCTTCGAGGTGGAGCGTGGGTGGTTGTGGATAGTCAGATTAACTCTGACCATATTGAGATGTATGCTGATCGGACGGCTAAAGGCAATGTTCTTGAGCCAGAAGGGATGATAGAGATCAAGTTCAGGAACAAAGAGCTGCTCGAGTGCATGAGCAGGCTAGACGGAGAGTTGATCACTCTGAAGGAGAAGCTTCAGGAGGCTAAAGATGGTGGAGGATATGGGATGGTCGAATCTCTTCAGGAGAAGATAAAGGGCCGCGAGAAACAGCTTTTGCCTGTTTATACTCAGTTAGCGACGAAATTCGCTGAGCTTCATGATAGCTCACTGAGGATGGCTGCAAAGGGGGTGATTAGAGAAGTGGTGGAGTGGGGTTGGTCTAGATCTTATTTCTACAAAAGGTTGAGGAGGAGAATTGCAGAAGGTTCTCTGATTAAGATGGTGAGAGAAGCTGCTGGCGGCGAGCAGCAAGTTTCTTTTAAATCTGGTATGGAGATGATAATGGAATGGTTTTTGGAATCTGATCATGCGGGGAGAGGGAGAGGAGAAGATAGGTGGTCGGACGATGAAGGTTTCTTCGCATGGAAAGATGATGCAAAGAATTATGAGGGGAAGCTAGATGAGTTGCGGGTTCAGAAAGTGTTGGCACAGTTGGGAAATATCAGTGGGTCTACATCAGATTTGAGAGCTCTTCCTCAAGGTCTTGCTGCCCTTCTAAGCAAGGTAATATGCTTGCTTTGCTGCCTTTTGAATCAATTGAATGGCATGTTGTTTGTTAGAGTATCTATGTGGGACACATAAGTTTGATGAAGTTTTGAAACTTCAAATTGACATAATATGTTGCTGCTGCTGCAGGTGGAGCCTTCAAGCAGAGGGAAATTGGTTGATGAACTGAGGAAGGTTCTGAACTGATATTTTTTCTGTTTTGTTTTTGGAAAATTCTGAACTGATGATTTTTATGCTGTGTAATAATAAGTCTGTAATTACGAAGGGGTGTTGTCCCAAAGAAATAGGGGTAGTGAATGTGTAAAAATAGCTGGAGGTCATGGGGCAAGTTGTGAGTTATATGGCCCACTCCAGACAATAATTACTTTTCTATAAAGAAAGTAAAATTGACATAATTATTTCTTTATATTAGTAATCTTTTTTATATCAAAGATGGCTTGTATACCAAGAAAGCAAAGATCTAATGTTTAACAATTCTGCATAGTCTGATTCAACTTACCTCCTCTTTTCATTTACCCATAATCTGATTCAACCGGACTGCTAGATGACCAGGACTTTACTGTATATTATCCAGAAGCCTCCTCATGCCAAACTAGCCTATCATCGATCGGATTCCTAGGAAAGGGAATAGCTTAAATCGCCTAAATCGTGTCGACAAGGTTCACAATTCCAATTAATACTGAAGAAACAAGCTGAATTCTGCCAACATAAGATAGCTTGCCTTGCTCTCCAAGATTTAACCCTATTGGTAAGCTTCTCAGTCATCACCTCACATTCCCTATCTGAGAACTTCCTTGCCATAAGTGGCAGACCCAAATACCTCACAGGCAGATTCCCTTTGACAAACCCTGAAACCTGTAATGCTACTTTCTTAAACTTAATGGTTTCTTTCTTCCCCCAAAATTAATCTCACAGTTACTTGGGTTACATTTCAAACCCGACAGCTATAAAACTCTTGAAGTATCATTTGACTTCATCAAATTGCTGCTCCAGAACTCTCATCTGCGAAATTGAGGTTTAGTAAAGAAGAGACTCCATGACTATAGTAAAAAAGAGGGGGGGAAAGTAAAATTTATCATTTAACGAATAGAGAAAACAAAAATGCTATATTTTAAACTACAACTCCTAGCCATCTATGTCAAGAGTTCATCGCTAAGTCTACAGAATTTGCAAATACAGAAGATATACCGCCAACCCTTTTGAGTTTCTTGATGCATTCGTCTTCTTCTACTTGCCAATACAGAACTTGCCGAAAATGTTGGATAAAACTTCTTCCGATATGTCTTCGCCAGTGATTTGTCCCAGTGCCAAAGCAGCGTCCTTCAAATCAATCGTCCAAAAATCCAGAGGCAAATCCTCTTCTATCGAAGATTTCAACCTGGAAAGGGCCTCCTTGGTTCTTAGCAGCTGCTCACATTGTCTCTGAGGTGATGGCATTTGCGAAAAACGTTTAGATAATAGTACAGCAGTACATATAAAATCATGGAGATGAAAAATGGGTTTCTAATTTTACATCCAACTAAGTTAGGGGTGGCCAAACCGGTACCAGATAACAGAACCGTTTTGCAAAAGAAATAAAATCAGAGCATTGCGTTGGTGTTCCAGACCAAACACGAGGGGTCCTAACCACAAAACGCTCCTTCCATTCAAGGGAAAGAACTCCTTAAGCGGATCAACAAAGGCGAGCAGCTCACTTGCACAACCCAGCTTAGAAGTACTGAATTGGTTTTGGTGTGGCTTGACTCAAGTCCGGTACAATGCACAAATGGCATCGGTTGGCCATCCTCTATCAAGAAACCTGACCAAAATTACCCAAATTCCCTTCCCTTCTACTTTCTGCCCATTTCCCATGCAGTTTTGCAGCCCAAAACCCATAATTTGCAGATCAGTTAAACAAACCGCACACTGACTTGCACTAATAAGAGGGAGATCGAGACACAAGCTTTGCTAAGAGAAGGTGCAAAAATAGTAGTGGCAATTTCTATTTTGCAATGTGGTAACTAACATCAGCTTACCTGATTCACTGTCCATTTGCGCCCACCGTCTGGAATCGTATTTAGATTCATGATTTCCGCAATTGCTGTCTCCAGCTCTTGAATTCCTTGACCAGTAACCGCACAGGTGAAAACACGCCTAGACACACTATTATTGCCTTCTCTATCATCATCAAATTCAGCTACCAGCGATCGAGCACAATCTATCTTATTAATAACCAAGATAAGTGGAGTTGATGATCCATTTTGCTCCTGTAGCAACAAATGACGAGGAGATAGAAAGTTGCAAGTCGCCGATCAGGTTAGTTAATCGTGTAGTGATATTTGAAAACATTAATTCATGTACTGCACCAGATTTCTAAAACAACATCAATCAACTAAAATGAAGGAAATACCTTTTTTGATTCTATCTTCCGCAGAAGGGTTGCATCTTCTGACGTCCACCCATCAGAGGCACTCATCACCAAAATAATAATATCGGCCCCCATGGCTGCAGCTTCAGATCTCTTTACTCCTAGAAAAAAAATTCTATCTTCATTTAGAAGAAATACACATGTCCAAAAAAAGTCACATCTACAAGAAAATAATGGACTCGCGCATTATTATCAAAATCTATTGATCCAACTTACCAATCCTCTCGACAACGTCATCGGTTTCCCTAATGCCAGCTGTATCTAGGAGTGTAACAGGAATATTGCCAACTGTAATGCTGGCTTCAACTACATCTCGGGTTGTTCCAGCAATGTCTGTAACTATAGCTCTCTCACTCTGCACATCAAAATTAGAACAAGGCACAATAAAACACTGAATAGTCTTCACATGCAAGAAAGAAGCCGTAATGGGCCACAAAGTGCATATCAAGGTTGGGAACATTTTGTTTTTAGGCACTAGCTCATCAGACTGAAACGATAGCTTTAAAATCAGATGACAGAAAAGAGAGCATGGACTTGGCTAATGATCTTTTATTTCTTGAGTATGCAACAAGCAGACAAATACCTACAATTTACAGTGTGAATGTATCCCGAGGATGACAAACTAATATATAACCAAGTTTAAACATAACCAGAAAAAGATAACTGAGCAAAGTATGCAATCAGAATTAAGAGTTTGTAACATACTTTACTCCATGCGTTAAGGAGGCTTGACTTCCCAACATTTGGACGACCTATGATTGCTATCTGCAAAGAAGGAAGATGCTCGGAAAGTCAATGACAACTGGACCATTAACATAGAAGTGAATTTACCGAATATCACTGGCTACAGTTAGAGCAAGAAACCTTATTGTTGTTGTTAAGAGCCTAAAACAAAACATACTTCACAAAAAATTATAAGTTCACACTCATCCATAGAAGTGCTGTATAGAAGCTAGTTATTATCAAAAGTATGGCAATGATCAGAAAATTACTCCAGCATAAAGAAATGAGAGCAGGTAATATTTAAGACCGATGTTGATGAGAATCATGCTAGGGAAAATAAGCGACTGCAGCAAGAAACTATGCATAATATCAGGCATTATGGATGATTCACTAACATGTTTACTGAAGCTGAGCTGACCAACTTACAGGAAAGTGTTGGAGATAGTGACCTGGATTTTCTCTTCAATAATACTTGGTTGGCAAGGATACAGAGAAAGGAAGCTAAATTTAGTAGGTTTGAGTTTTAGATCAGTTCTACGATTTCTATGCAATAAAAAAATTATGATCCTCTGTTTTCCTCATCCAACTAGGATTTTTTGCTAAATCTTATTTGCTTCCTACGATGAGTATGATCTTTTCTTATGCTTGTAAAAAGGAGCTGGAACCTCAATAAATAACATACAGAATAATTTAATGACAACTTCCAGCAAGCAGTTGTGAATTTCAAGGTTTATGAAACTCTTGATGCAGGGTTATCACCATCCAGAGTGGCAATTCTTCTTGCGTCTTAGGCAACCAAAATATTAATTTCTTTCAGAATCCAAAACCCAGACCACTCCCAACAGAATTTGATAACTCGCAAAATACGTTGATACTAAAGGCCACTGCAATCTGAGGCACATCAACAGTATTTCTATAGTGGAAGAAGTGTGAGGCAATTAGTGGTTTAGCTTATGATATGTTAAACCTGTAATCCAGACTGCAGAAGCCTATCATAATTGGCCGTCTCCAATGCCTTATCAACTTCCATAGACATAGCTTGTATCTTGTTCGTGATCAGGTTCGCGTCTAAAGGTGGCATCTCATCATCAAAGTCTAGGCGAGCTTCAATCTCAGTTAGCAATTCAATGCATTGCATTCTTGTTGATTTTACCAGCAAACCAAAGCCTCCCTGAAATGCAACAAGTAAAAGAATTTTGAATGTTACTGCACAATATACATCCTATGCAGTTGTATTGAATTGAAAACTAAGTACTGGAATGGTACATGCCTCAAGTCCAGCTAGTGCTGCATCTGCAGCTGCTGCAGACTTGGCAGAAATTAACCTGCCAACATTTTCAGCTTGGGAAAGGTCCAACCGACCATTAAGAAATGCCCGGAGAGTAAATTCACCTGAAAAAGATACAGAGATTACGCAATCAAATTCCTGTTTATCATGCTGCCCAAATGAGCAAATCATTATTGATAGCCAGATAGGTCTGAAAGATTTATTTAGTTAGACATAAGAAATAGTATCATTACGTTCACCTATGTCAGCGAACAATATCATATCAAAGTTACATAAAATCATTTCTTTTTTCCTTCGATTGATAGGTAAACCACCTTTAACAACTCAAATCTGACCTGGTTCAGCAAGCCTAGCTCCAGCTTCCAGACAGACTCTCAGCACACGGTTAAGACAAACCTCACTCCCATGACACTGAAGCTCAACCACATCTTCACAGGTATAGGATCTCGGAGCCAACATTGGCACAGCAAGAACCTGATTTCAGTAGATAAACTGAAAAGAATCTTCTTAAAAATACCAAATGGAAACAAAAACCAAACCAAACAAGAAAAGCAATAACAAAAACAATCAAAAACCAAATTTCACCCTTTTGGATGCCAACACTCACAGTCAATCCAACAACAAAATTATAAACATACCTCATCAATCACGTTGCCCTGAAGATCCAGTACGATACCGTAATCCACCACATGGCTGGTAGGCTGCCAAGCGGCCAGTCTTTCGTTCCTCTGCGTCCTCTTTTTCTTCCTCTTAATGGGTTTGAACACACGAGCAGCAACGTTCACTGCAGATGGCCCAGATAGCCGTATGATGCCCACAGCGCCTGGAGGGCCACCAATGGAAGTGACAATGGCAGCAATTGTAGAGCTTGACTGAAAAGGAATCTTTTCACTGTGGGGAACCTCACTTGATCCATGAAAACGCTGGTCCTTGCCATTAAGAAGCAAAGTGGCAGAATTTGGATTGGGGTTTGGGTTGGGCGTAAGAGTCGCTAGGGGTTTTGCAAAGATTTTGAGTCGAGGGGTTTGAAGACGCGAGGAAAAGGTATTAGATATGCGGAAAAATGAGAACTTGGGTCGGAAGATATGGGTAAAGATGGTGTAAATAGCAGGCAGAAGAGCCATTTTTAAACTACAAGCATGACCCAATTTCCCCCTTCAAATACGGCGGCAGCTTCACAGAAATGGTTCGTTCGACAACAACTATGAACAATCAATTCTACAAACCCCTGCTCCTGGCCCTGCTCTTATCCATGGAAAGTCAGAACGAAGAGATTTATTTACATGGTCCAGTCAATGGTTTTTTTTTTTTTTTTGCCAAATGGTCCAGTCAATGGTTTCCTAGGAGGAGAAAATGAGAATTGCTAATTATCGCACAAATTTTTATTTAGGATCTTTCTAACTTAAAAATTGTAATTAAAATTTAACTTTTTTTATTGATAAATGATATTTGGTGTTAAACAAAATCAGATTTGAACAGCAAAAAAGTGAGCGTTGTTATGAACTAAAAGAGAAGAACAATAACAAGAGAAGAGAGAGTGAAGAGGAAAAAACACAACAGAATATGGGGAAAGTGATCTTCTTATTATCTCATTCCTTTGTACAACGAAGGTGTTTTATTTATATATATATATAACTCCTACAATTTCGTCTATCAATGCACATGAATGTGAGATAATGAACCACGAAAATTATTCATTTTGAAAATAAATGTAGGAGGTAAATTTTTTTTGAATAAAGGGAGGCATAAGGCCAGGGAACGAAACAACAATCAATCACAGCTTTACCCCAAACCAGCTGCACAGGCATAGCAGGCAGGCTTGTAGCCTAGACAAAAATAACCTCAAAAGCAGAAAAAACATAAATGCAAACACAGAGAAACCCAACAACAGTTCAAGATCACTCTATCATCTACCCCAATGGGCAACCATCCTAGGGAAACTAACTCCAATAATGTCCTCCAACAGAATCTTTTCAAGCTCAGGCGGTGGATCCGTTAGTTCATACGTACCAAAGGGATAGACGAGACTGTGCTTCGAGAGCTAGTCCGCGACTCTATTCCCTTCCCGGTACGTATGTACTAACCTCACCACCCAATTTTGAGCCATCAATCTTCGAATCGCAACAAGCATAGTTGAATGAGGGTGAACATTGTCCATCCGCTTGTTAATTAACTCAATGGCCAGCTTAGAGTCCGACTCAACAATTAGAAATTGAGTGCCCCTGTTCCAAGCAAACTTGGGTCCTTTCAGAATACCCCATAATTCTGCTAGGATGGCAGTTCCCATCCTGATCTTGCAGCAAAATCCGCCCATCCAATCACCATCAGAGTCACGTATGCTTCCTCCTGCAGTAATCAACCCATGACTGCCTTGAGCTGCCCCGTCCGTGTTTAATTTCAACCATCCCAGAGGCGGCGCTAGCCATCCTATCATATGTTCCTCTCGTTGTGGCCTTCCCCCTGTATCTATATTGATGCTTGCCAGCTCCCAAGTTTTTGCCCAGTCGCTCGCCTTAGAAGTGACATAATTGATCATTGAGGAAACAATCATATTTTTGTTGTGGAAGGTAAGATCACACCTGTACTTCCATATATAGCATCCAATGTAAAATTCAATGTGCATCCATAATACTTCATTGTTTCAAAATAGTTACCAAATTATTTAAACGATGCCAATTTATTATTTAATGCCAATTTATTATTTAATCTTAGCCTCCTTTTAAGTTGATGTGATTCCTATACTCTTATTGTCTCACTTCGCCATCTCTCTAGATTATCAAATCGATCTGATCTCACACCACTCGATAAGGGTGTTCAAACGGATTGGTTAATTTGGATTGGCCTTCTCCCTTTTCACTCGATTTTGTCTCGTCCCTTTCGTGATCCTCACATTCCTCGCCCTTAGAGTTCTCTCGATTCCCATTAATTGTGGTGGCTCCAAAAAAGTGCACGATCTTAACTAGGGGTTGGCATCGGTCCGGTCCGGATCGAATTAGACTAAATTCAGAGAATCGCGGTTCAATAGTGAAAGATAACTTAGGATCAAGGACCGGACCATATTATATTCGATTCGGTGTGGTCCGATCCAACATCGATTCGGTCCGGTGTGGTCCAAAGTGGACCAACCCATTGCCCACCCCTACTCTTAGCACCATTGTCCACAATCAAGCAGGGGTGGTTTGGAGTGCAAACTGTGTTGTGCAGGTTCCTAGTGGCGGGGGTGATTTGGAGGGCAACGTGACTATCGTTATATTGAAAGAGGATTAGGGATTTAAGGGACGATTTGTTTTGTTTCTTTTTGTTTGGTTTATTAAGGTTAATTTAGTAATTTATCTTTTAAGTTAGAGCGATAAAAGTAAAATTAGAGCGACGTTTATCCGTTCATATTTAAGAGACCCCAAGGAGAGCGAGAACGGACAACTAGAGTATGAATTCGTTTGCTTTGTCTATTGGCAAATGCATGCATTTTTATGTATTTGCAATTTGCAAATGTATAGATTTGACAATGTAGAGATTCTCAAATGTGTTGTTTATTAAACATTTTAGATGAGTCTTTTGTATAATGTTATCATTTTGCTCTTACGTGCAATATGTTTCATTTTCTTGTTTATTATCCCAACAAAGTCAACCACGAATATAGAAACCATTTTGCAACCAATATGTAATATATTATTTGGGTATTATCCATATAATAGTACTAGTTTTTATTTTTGAACGATAATTTTATGTTAACTTTTCACAAAGTGTAACAGTTACAAAGTGTATCATTTTATTTGACAATGACTAAAATAGTCATAGATTCATCACATTTTTTTCAAAATGAATTGTGCCAAGAATTGATGGGTCTTGAACATGGACATTTGCTTGTACATTAGAAATAATAAAGGAATAATAATTAGGTAATAATGCATCTTGTTGTTAAACCTGAAAAAAGGAAAGTGATTGAATGATGAGTAGGAAAATTTGGAACTTTTTTGTAATTGGGACGTCCAAATTGAAACAAATACTCATAGACTCGCCGTAAGGGGTGACATAGGGGAGCGTGATGAATTTACGCTCGTGCATCCCTGCCGCCCCTACAGGTGACGAGTCTGTAGGTATGTTAAGCTGAATGGCTAAATCTCGCCCTAAATTTTTTAATTTATCGCCCTGAATTGTATTGAATGGACGATTTTGCCCTAGCAATAAATAACCCTAAACCGCCAACCTCTTCCCCTTCCCAGCAATTTGCGGCCGCCCTTTCTCCCTAGCACATCGCCGTCGCCGACCTCTGTTCCTGGCGCTCAAGGAGGACGATAAAAGAATCATGTCACCTAGCTTCTTTCCCTTTGTTTGCTTCCACCGCCGCCCTTTCACCCAGCAATTCGCCGCCGCCAACCTCTGTTGCTGGCGCTCGAGGAGGAAGAACAAGGAATCCTGTCACCGAGCAGAAAATAACCTCCCCCAACTCCTGCTGCTATCGAGCCCATCGCCGATCGATGAGGAAGGAGGGAGGAGGAAAAAGGTTGGATTCCTCTAGCTGGATTTTTTGTTTTTTGTTATGGGTTCACTCGTCGGACGGGTTGAAACCCCATCTCCGGCAAGGTCTGGATGGATTTACGGCCAGTCTTCACACCGGCGGCGACATATTTTCAACCCTCCCGACAAGCGGGAGAAGCGGGCGGGCCACACATCCGACAACGGTCTGGTCGGGTAGGTCATCCGCCTCATCACGGTTTGAATCTGTGTCCGACGACCAGTACACAGCAAGCTCAGAGCAGCGACGACGATGAGTTTGGAGTGGCGGCGGGATTGTGCATTTGGGTAAGTTAGAAATGTTGAATGGCTATATTGTAACAATAAAAAAGGATATAAATGTAATTTTAATTTAGGGCGATTACGAAGTTAGGGCGACAATTAGCAATCCCCATGTTAAGAGGAGGCTTGCCTTTCCTACGCTTGTAAGCCAAATTTGGCACCCAAATATTAAAAAAAAAAACTGACATTTTGGCATTTTAGCATCTACATATTGGTGGGTGTTTTTTTTTTTTTTTTGTGCATTGTAGGTTGCCATTGAAGATGGTCTAAGGGCACTAAGTCACTAACCAGTAACCACGTTAAACTGTGTATATGCAGATGAAACAGCTTTTATTGGTGTGATATGGTTAGGTACGGTCGTACAAAGGACTAAAACAGCAGAAAAGAAAATGCACAGAGCTAGCCCACCACCCTTATCCTTTCTCAATTTTACTGTCTCTTCCCCTCCTCTTCTTTCCTGGAGGGGTTTCTTTGTTTTTCTCTTTGTTGCTCATTTTGATACCGAATCTAGTCACTTTGCTCTCCTTTTTATACAAAAGAGGGGAATCCTATCCAACCTTCCCTCCCTCCCTCTCCCGCCACCAACACTGTAGTAAAAATTACACTTCCTCCACCAACTTGGGAGAGCAAGAGGCCACTGCATCCGCCACCGTGAGGAAGATGTTGTCTTCTCCAATCAAATTCGCCAAATCCGAGGCGTGCAGCTTCTCCATCACCACCGGCCCTGGATTCGCCATAATCAGCTGCATGCGGCAATGAACAACAACAGCAAGCATGCACAAGTTATCACCACCATTACACCATTCAAAAGGTTACAGGTACCAAACTATCTCTCTCTCTCTATACCCTCGTTGTGTTAAGTGGTTGATTTTACCTGAATATCTCGCTTCTTGAGGCTCCTGTGCAACTCCTCGAATGCATGGATGCCGCTGGTGTCTATGTCAGTAACAGCTGCCGCGACCCCAAAAAAATGAAATGATACCATAATCAATGAGGATGGAACTCGCAAACATCAAACTGTTCTTGTTTAAATATAAGGGCTTTTTGATGAAATTCGGCGCGCCTTAGTGCTGGTATGATCACAATGTTCTTGTTTTAAATGTGGGGGGGAAGAACACTTACGAGACATTTCTACGATCAGAAACTGTACTCTTTGTTTCCCCGATGCTTCGATGCGTTCTTCTTCGTCCAACAACCATCTCAATATTCTGCAACAAAGTAAAGCATAAAATTTCCAGCCGTTTCTGGCTAGGTAACTGATAACTACACTTCAATCCTGTTTTTTGTTACCTCTCCTTGACGTAGTTGGAGTTGGAAAAGTATATGGCGGAGTCGACCCTCACAATCAGAACGCCTGGAACCTTAGTTGCTTCTGGGTACTGTTGAATGTTTCTGTACACCACTGTCCTTGGCACCTTCCCCAGAATTGCTGTCCTTGGTCTAGTCACTTGCAGCAGAATTTTCGCAAACGAAATCGAGACCTGCTCCCCCGCCCCATGATAATTAAATAGTTTAGCTCCCCAGTTAATTTAAACATATATATAGATATCATGCTACTGCTGCTACTTCATGTTTTACTTACCGCGATCAGCAGGCCGATCTCGACAGAGATGAAAACCACACCAAAGAAGGCTCCCATGCAAGCGATGAAGTCGAACTTGTCAATCTTCCATATCAAAAGAGCTGCCTCGTAGTCGATTAGGCCGAGAACTGCTGCTATAATGATGGCTGCCAGAATGGCATTTGGTGTGTACTTGAACAGAGGTGTGATGAATAGCAAGGTTAGAAGCACTACTATCGACATTATAATGTTGGACACTGCAGTTTGGCAGCCCGCCATGTAGTTCACTGCTGATCGAGAAAAAGAACCTGCAAGCGGCGATCGAAACATGTGGTCAACAATGTTAAATCAAATCCAAAATGCACTTGCTGAAGACTTAAACAACCGGTATTTTGTTCATTCTAATCCTCACCTGTTGCGACATAGCACGAAGTCATTGATCCAATAACATTCATGGTTCCTAGGGCCACCATTTCTTTGTTCCCGTCTATTTGATAGTCCTTCATCGAAGCGAATGTCCTTCCAATAGCTACGGCTTCCTGAAAGCACAATAATCGGTTTAGTTTAAAGATACAGAAGAATTGATTGAATGGTTTGGTTTCAACAGGAAGAAGAAAAAAAACTGCAAAGCCTTACTGTCAAAGCTATCATTCCAGCCACCACACCGATCCTGAAACCTTTTAGAAGATATTCACCCGAGAAAAAAATTTGGTTCACTGAAGATGGGTTAATTCCTTTCTCGATGTGCTTCACCTGCATAACAGAAAATGGAATTGGTAAGACAAATAGCATGCAGACAATACAAAATGGGATGTACTTTGTCTAATATGAAATGCTTACAATTTGGACGCCTTGCTTATCCGCACGAGTTATGTACACAAAGAAGGTCGATAGAACAACAGATACCAAAGGAGCAATTGCTGGCACCCAGAATAGTTTCTTGTTCTTCTTTCCCTATTGTTGTTCCCCTCCCAGACAGCTAGTTAGTTAAGGACAGTTCACAAGGATGACGGTAAATGCTTAAAGAGAGAGCTTTAAGCAAAGTATTACTTACGATGTACTTGGCGAAGAGTAGGAAACTTAAGAAGCTTGCTCCTATAAGTATGGTCTGCCAATTCCACTGTAGAGTGAAAAATGAGGAACAGCAGATTATGAGGCAAGTTGTAACAACAATGAAGAGTGAATGAAAAAGGCTAAGAAGGACTAAGAGCTCACTCCATGATGGGCCGAGTGAATTACAGATTGCATCACAGAAATGATGTCTGATTTCTTGGTGAACTTTTTTATTCCTAGAAAACCTTTAAGTTGTTGGAGGGCAATTGTGATGGCTGCCCCACCCATGAAACCAACAATAGCCGCATGTGACAAGAAGTCAATCAAAAACCCCAACCTCAGAAATCCCAGCGAAAACTGTGTGATTCCAGCGAAGAATGTAGCTGTAAATGCTAGCCTTCGGTAGTCAGTTGGATTCTTGGTGGAATCGATCTCATTCTGAAGCAGAGTCCCCAGTAGAAGAGATACCACAGCAACAGGTCCTATAGCTATATCTCTTGAACTGCCCATGATCGCATATATCAAAGGCGGAACAAAGCTAGAATCTGCCAAATAAGAAGAAGAACAAAAAGAGAGGGGTCGTCAAAACTGTCAAACTAACGATGAAGAGAGATTCTGCAAACCATGAAGCCTTGCAGACCAAGAAAAGCTTAGAGTGTCTGACTTACATAATCCATACTGTGGTTCCAAATTTGCAAGCTTTGCATACCCAATGTCCTGAAACATCATGCAGATCCGTTACAACAAATGTTGAAGATTCTTCTTCGACTTCGACAAGTTATTTGAAGAATTTGAAATACCTGAGGAATGCAAAGACTGGCAATGGTGAGGCCAGCAATGATGTCGCCTCTGAATTTTTTCAAATTGTAACTTCGCCCCCAATCAAGTATGGGGAACACAGCCCGGACTCCCAGAACGAACATTTTCGACTTGGTTTGGTCCTTGAAGGAGCGTAGAGGGTCGTCCGCGAAAAAGGTTTCCTTAACGGTTGATTTGAATTCTGCCAACAGGTTCTGTCTGGGAAGAACACCAACTTTGTGGACATAAGGTGGTGCATTTTCTGGTTGACGACGAGATGAAGACAGGCTTCCGGCATCTATCTCTTTCGTGTCGAGCTTCTCTTCCGTTGGAGTAACCATTGGGAGACCAGCTGCTGCAAGTATACCTTATATCTGCAGAAAAGATCAAGAAAGAAGCAATGAAAAAAAAAATCAAGAAAGAAACATTGCTAAACTCTACTTTGCTAACAAGGCAAACGCTTTTCTTGTCTGTGTGCCGCATCAGTACTCACAAGTACAAGTTGCCTAGAGTAAAAAAACAACAATTTTGAGTTCAGGACTCCATTTACTATGCAGAGAATCCTAAGAAATCCCGCCTAGTCTTTAGGCACGATGGCCTATACACAAGAAAAGCAGTAAATAGTTTGAATAAGGTTTTGTGGTGAAAAGTTAGAACCTTTGTAAAGGTTAGAGATAGAAGCCGTTTGCAGGGAGACTGGGAGAGAAGAGAGAAGTCTCACTTTCAAGTTTCCCGCTTGAATGGCAAATGAAGGTAGCAGCTTCTGCTTTTTATATAATGAGGGTGTGAAGGCAAGAAAGGAGGGAAGGAATGAAACCTGTCTTAATTAATTCCAAAGTCAGACCATTAGCAGTAGACAGCAAGGGAAGAAACTGCCTTAATTAGTGTGGCTACGCATCTGGATCTGTTTGTTTGCCATGTACAGAAAGAACTCAAAGAGAGTTGGGATTTTAAAAAAAAATGGAAGGGCTGAGCTAATGTGAGATTATTCAAAGCTTAATCATTGATCCCCCCAGTAGTCTGACCTTTATGCAGCTTGAAGAGCTGTTTGACTTGAGAGATAAGGAACAGGTTAGCAGTTTGCAAGCTAGCTAGGTAAAGGATTTCATTCGAAAAGAAGTGATGGGTTATTCCTGAAGACTTTTCTAAGCAAGTTGAGAGGTTCAGGAAAAAAAACGCAGCACATGTTTTGACCACCACTCTATAGCTTTCACAATAGTCCATGAAAAAGCAAGGAGAAAACACGATGTGGGTGTTACTATTAGAAGAGAATCAAAAAGGCTTTCGCATGTCACTGTTCATAACTAGAAAGAAAAAAAGGAAACGATCCTTTTCTAGCCCGAGCTGTATTCATGTGAAAGGAAATAAGGAGACAATGAGTGTGACAATTAGACAAACAAGAGAAGACACCAATGTACTTTGGTTGCTTGCTACTATTATTGCTCAGATGGAGAGGGATGGGTTGGTGGGGAAGAAAGCATAATAAAGTCAGTGCCCACATCGTTGTATCTGAGCATTTGCATGAAGAAGGAAGACGACACTGTATGTAGTGCATCTAAAACCAGTCGCTAAAACAGCACAGAGTTAAAATTACCTGGACTGGGGTCATGCTAAATCCCCAGAACTATAACATGCAGGTCTACTTCCTTACTGCGAGTTAAAAGAAAAAAAAACAACACAAATAAAACAGATAATTTAGAATAAGTCTTAGCTTGTTAATATACATATAATATCAAGCTAATATCAAGCAAAGAGCCATTGTTTTCTAGAATGGAGGTGGGCAATTATTGATTTAAAAATTGCCCAGTTGTTGTATATGTAGGCAGCAGCTAAACCACAACCAACCAAAACAAACCCACATCCAAGAAAGGGAATGGAATGGAATTGGGGGAAAAGACTACTATTCCCACTTACATCGTTTACCAATGTTACAACAACAACGTAAAATCAGACAAACCTTCTGGTTCAGCATCAACTCTGCAGTGCAAGCCGTTGATAGTGGTGGGGCTGAAATTTCAATTTCCTGACGCTGTAAAGAGAGAACTGGGATCTTCTTCCCCCAAAAAGGTAAAGAGGAAACAACACACGACTTTACGCACTCAAATCAAAACCCATAAAAAATTTCTGGCAAAAAAAGGGATTAAAGAAAGGCAGGGGGAGGAGGAGAGCTGAGAATGGGGAAAAGCTACAAAACAACTTCTTCTTCTTCTCCCATTTAGATTACGTATCCAATGACACAGTGGATTGGATGGTCGTCGTAGTTCCTCAGCAACCCCATGATAATAATAATAAAGTATATTTATCGGGCAGAAATCGAAGATTGAGTTGACAAAGAAGGCGACTTATATGGGGGAGGTGATTTTACTTTTCAACAATGGCTTCCGAAACCCGTCTAGGTTCAACGAACTTGGGTTTTCTTTTGTTGTGGAGGTGCAGTTTGCTAAATTCCCACCTCTGTGTTGCGTCGTCAATGGAGGAGAGGCGAACGAAGTTATAGGCTGCTGGATCGTTTTCGAACACCAACACATGACTCACCGCTCCCGCGTTCATTGTTACAACAAAAGGGAAAACAATCACAATTTGTACAAAACTACAAATTCAGACCAAGCCAATGCATTTTTTTTTTTTTTGCGTTAAATCGGAGGAGCTGTTTTGGTTGGGTCGCGTTTCGGTTACGGATCCGGTTGGGTTACGAGTTGATTCGATTATTATCGGTGAGAAAAGGATTATGAGTCGGGATGAATTGCGGATTAACTTAATTCCGAAAAGGGCGGTTTAAAGTAATAAGTAAAGTTGTCGAAATGGGTTAAATCGCTGAGTCGGTTGGACATGTGCTTTATGATCGGATACGGGTTCGATTGGTTTGATTTCGATTTGATTTGAATATGCTAGAGAAGTTGTTGATACATGTATGTATATGATAAGTTATTTAAAATTTTAACAATCCCTCTATTTGTATTTAAATAAAATATAATGTTTTATTATAGGGAAGCAGATCGAGTACAAAACTATATCCTAAAAAATCACTACGAAATTCAATCTAGATTCGTCCATCCGAATCACATTTAAGGGCCCAAAATAAGTTACAATCAATTAAAAAAACAAGGAGATACAATATACTTTAAACAGGTAAAAACATTTCCTAATTTCAATTTTTTCTTACTTGGTTCTTATATAATTTGTTTTAACTCAAAAATTTAAAAATATTGCATAAATAGAATGCATTAATTATACTATACACAACGATATCATTTTTGTTATATACAATGATGTTGCTTTAAGATTAAAATATTTGAGTAACCTTAATTTCTTTAGATAGAGAGTAAAATATTTGTGATAACCGAGCAAAAGAATTAACAATAAATAGTACAGGTTATTGTTAATTCCTTCCTTTGCTCGGTTTGTAATTGGACTAATAATTTTCCATTTCTTTCCTATTCACAGATTATTCATTTCCTCTTATTATATATGATATGAATATGATAGTAGTAGTAGTATTTTTTTTTTGTTTGTGATTAAATAGGTTACGTTTTTATAATTTCAAAAGTGAAATTTATCATCAATTGTCATTGAGGTTCTGCCTTTTTTTTCATTGGTAGACTTTAATTACTTTAGATAGAGTTCTAGCTCTTTAGTGGATCACTTTGGGTTGAGTATGATGCAGGGGAACTTTATCGTAATTAAGATACATGAAGGAAGTGCAATCGACCTCATCAGTTTATCAGTTAATATCAATTGCTCTTGTGAAATTATACATGATATTAGCAATGCCTATTAGATGGTGACTCACTCATTTTTTCTTGACTTTTTCTATTGAGGAAATTCTCAACTGACCATCAAAGATGTTTCAGAGAGGAAATCTTCTCATTCGAGAGCCCACTCCATATAAAGAAAGTTCTTCTTTCTCTCCTCTCACTCCCTATGTCAGTTTCGTGTCATTTTGCTCATCGGAGCTTTCACAGAGTAGCTCACCTCGTGGCAATACAGACTCTTTCATCGGGAGGACGATTGCATACAGACTACCGTTCTTTATTATTGTCATCTTTTTATTGTTATTGTCCGGCCATTGCCTGGGGACTAATCTTGGTTTAAAAAAAAAACATCGGGCTTCCTTTAATTGGTTATTAGAGGGCCTTTTCAATCCTACCAATAACTTGAACTTGTGAATCCAGCAGTGCAAACCAAGATTGTTGATTTTTTTTATGAAAATGTTCGATATTTGATAATTGTGATTGTTGATATTTAATGGGGACAAAAAATCATCCTTCAAATCAAGATATTGAACTGAGATTTGATATCTTCGAATTTTAGAGATTTAAAATCTAAATCTCTAAACCTAAAATCTAAAATACAAAAAGTAGTAAAAGAACATGACTTTTTACTAAATTCATGTATCGTATGAATATATGCTACTAATCTTGTTCTCCAAACAAACCCTAATTTACCACGTCTCCATTTCATTTAAGAAGTGGGCGGCCTTAACAAATAAAACATACAATCTCTCTTTGGTGAACACACTCCATTCCCAATAGCATGATAAAAGAACACAAAGAATTATGGGCAACGCACAAATCAGGCCATTCAATTGTTTGAGAGATCCGTTTACATCAATGGAACTCTCTCTCCATCTCGGAAGCTACTTTACAATGGTAGTCACTGCGACAATCAAGAGCAAACTGGGTTAAAAAATTATTATTGAATTTTTTTAATAAATTACATTTTTAAAGTTATCAATATATATTAATTAAACTATTCTTCTCAATTCTTCTATGTCTCCGTTCAAGTGAACCAATACAAAAATAAAACAATATATCACTACCAAATCACAAAAAAATACTATCGCTTCAAAAACACCAATACTAACTCTAAACGAATCAATACCAGTTCAATGCGAATAAATACTAATTAAACGCGAACCAATACCAGTGCAGACGGACAAATACAAATTCAACACAAACCAATACCGTTCAGGACAAACCAAAACCAGAATACAAATCAATCTTTTCGTTAGTAGCACTGCCCTGCAGAGGAATTTTACAATACTATATAGTATTGGTACTATAGTTTTTTTCCTTTATGGTACAATATGAAATTGTACCTTTAACGTTATGGTACAACTTCAGATTGTACCTATACATTTTGTACAAATTCTTTTATGGTACAACTTGAACTTGTACTTTTATTTGATGGTACAACTTCAAGTTGTAAAGTTGTACCATAACATAATGATACAAATTCCTTCATGGTACAACCTAAACTTATACATTTAATGTTATAGTACAACTTTAAGTTGTACATTAAAGCACCGATACTATATAGCATAGTAGAGGTGCTCCTGCCCTGCATACTAAATAAAGTTAGTAACTAGTACGAGAAGAAATTTTTTTGTAGTATCAAATTGAAAAAATGAGTGACCAAATCTGCAATTTCCCGATACAAACATTCTAACCATAAATAAACCGTTTGTGTGTTGAAGCCCAACCCAATCCACGCCCAAAGCCTTAAAAGCTGGAGACGAATCTTATCTTAAGAAGGATGCGAGAGCAACATAGGCCCAGCCCAAAATCGTTGTAATTCAACCAGCTTTCTCGGTTCACTTTGGTCGGTGGACCGAAACCCCAGAAGAACAATCACGGAAATATTCCAGAGGACGACCACAAATCTTATTGGAAGAGAAAGAAGGAACCAAGTCTGCAGCAGTGGCTGTGATGCACAGCAATCCGAATGCAGTAAGGATTGGCTCGTGTCAACAACACAGAGATGATGGGCTCAAATGGAAGCGAATACGAGTTTGGAACTAGGCTAGCATTTTACCATGCGACGCCGTTTTACTTTGTTTTATTCTTTACTCTGCCAAATACAGAGTTTGTTGTAATAAACGAATCCACATTAACCACGTGTCCTGTGCGGGTTAATTGGATTTGAATGTTGGTTAATCACTGTTGATTAGCCGTTGAGTTCTATATAAAAAAGAGAAAACCCTAAAGAGGTGAGGCAGCTATTCTGCTGTTCTCATCCACCCAAATCAGTTCCTCTTTCCCTTTTCTTATGGTATCAGAGCGTCACTCTGCCATGGCGGCAGCTTCATTCTTCTGAGAACAGCAGCAATATAAACAATGTCACAAGAAGCGTCACCTCACTCTGGCTTCAATTCAAGTACCTCAGCAAACCCTGGTGGAGGATCTGCAAATGCTTCATCAGAGTTCATCTTTGGTAATCCCTTTTATCAAAACCCTAATGAGAATCTCTCACAGTCCATCGTTTCTGAAGTCTTGGATGGAAGTAATTATCAGTTGTGGGCAAGATCTATTAGGATTGCACTTAAGACCAAGTATAAGCTTGGGTTCATTGATGGGTCAGTACCCATTCCTGATATGGAAACAGATCCAAATGGTTTTAGAGCATGGGATGCTTGTAATACTGTCGTTTTGTGTTGGATTATGAATTCCTTGCATAAGGATATTAAGAGAAGTGTGCAGAGTCATGAAATTGCTAAATCTCTGTGGGATGAATTGCTGAATCGTTTTGGACAAACCAATGCTATCAAGTTGACTAACTTGGAAGATGACATTCATGCTTGCAAACAAGGGAATCTTACTATTACACAGTACTATACTACTATGAAAGGATATTGGGAAGAGTACACAAAGTTCAATCCCATTGTCCCTTGTGATTGTGCACCTGGACAGGTTAGGCCTTGCCCAGCTGTTGAGGCCTTCAAGGCAAAACAAGAAACTGATTATCTAGTTAGGTTTCTCAGGGGGGTTGCACCAGCTTTTGATGTTGTCAAGACTCATCTTCTCATGATGAAGCCATTACCTACAGTTGTAACAGCTTATGCAGATCTGTTACAGCATGAACAAAAGTTGAAAGCTGATAAGGGAAAAGGCAGTTCTCAGTCAGTAGCCTTAGCTGCTTATGGGAATCAATCTGGTCAAAGGCCTAATGCTCAAGGAGTAGGGCAGAATCAAATGGTAAACAATAGACCAGTTCAGAGACCAAACAAGGAAGAAGTTACCAGTGAAACTGGGTTGTTCTGCAGATACTGCAAAATGACCAACCATAACATCAATGACTGTTGGAGGTTGAAAAGGAAGAACCAAGGGCAATCTGGAAACCCCAATGCTCGTTTTGCTGGAGCAGTGAATGATGGAGAGGATGTTCCTCAGGAATCACAGTCTGTTCAGAACAGTGGGAATGCTAATCAGTCCTCAAATGGGAATGTGTTCAACATGCAGTTAACTGGAGAAGAGTTTAACAAGCTCAGGTTCCTACTTCAAGGTGTTCCAAATTCACCATCTCCCTCACCATCACCTCCTCATTCACCAAGCATTCGACATGCTGCTTTCTCTACATCTCAACAGTTGCCACATTTTCCTAATTCAGCTGGTAAATTCATCTTATCATCATTTATTCATTGCCATTCTGCCACCCTTATGCATTCATGGATCTTAGACACAGGGGCCTCAGATCATATAGTGTGTTCAAAAAGTCTGTTCACTAGTTGCAAGCCAGTCAATGATGTGTTTGTCTATCTACCTAATAGTACTAAGGTCCTGGTTACTCATATAGGATCAGTAAGACTACCCACAGGAGTACCCTTACACAATGTTTTACTGATACCTAGTTTCACTTTCAATCTTGTGTCAGTTAGTAAATTGACACATGATCTCCCCATCTCACTAAACTTTCAATCTGATTCTTGCATTATCCAGGACCTAGTAACCTCCAAGATGATTGGCTTGGCAAGACAAAGTAGGGGCCTCTACCAGTTAGTACCAAGTCCAGAAAACTGTCCCAGTTCCTCAGTTGCATCTGTTTACAATTTCCAACCACAGAAGATCAATCTTTGGCACTGGCGCTTAGGACACCCCAGCAACCAGAAAGTCCAATTGTTAGAATTTTGTAATCCTTTAGTTAAGAATGAGAGAGTTAAACACTGTGAGACTTGTCATTTTTCTAAGCACAAGAGATTACCTTTCCCTTTGAGTGACAGTGTTGCTAAAGATGTATTTGCTTTGATCCATGTTGACATATGGGGGCCTTTGGCAGTTGAATCATATGATGGTTTTTCCTATTTCTTAACTATTGTGGATGACCATTCTCGTGCTGTGTGGATTTATCTTATGCAACATAAGTCAGAAACCAGATCTCTTCTACAAGGTTTCTGTTCAATGGTTGTGAAACAATTTTCTAAGCCAGTTAAAGTTATACGTAGTGATCAAGGCAGAGAATTTCATATGCATGATTTCTATTCTGCACATGGGATTGAGCATCAGATGTCTTGTGTTGCCACACCAGAACAGAATGGTCGAGTGGAACGAAAACACCAGCATATATTGAATGTTGCCAGGGCTCTCAGGTTTCAATCAGGGGTGCCTCTTGAATTTTGGAGTGATTGTGTCTTGCACGCAGTTCATTTAATTAATAGACTGCCTACAGCTGTCTTGAAAAACAAAAGTCCTTATGAAGTTCTTTATCAAACTCCACCTTTCTTAGGACATCTCAAAGTTTTTGGATGTCTGGCATATGCTGCCACATTGAGCAGTGGTAGAACAAAGTTTCAAAGCAGAGCTAGACAAGCTATTTTTCTTGGATATCCACATGGGATCAAAGGTTTTAAGTTATTTGATTTGCAGACACATGATGTGTTCATTTCTCGAGATGTCACCTTTCATGAGGACATTCTCCCCTTCCATGGTCAGGTGGACAAGTCTCCTACAGAAGAAGAGGAATTCAATCTCCCTGACCTTCCTGTTGTTAATTTCCCTTTTGTTCCTGATTCCCAGAATCATGGGGGCCAGGCTGCTCCATCACAACCCTTATCTGATGATGTAGTTCCTTCTAGTTCAGGACATCAGAAGTCACCAGTTAATGGTCATATTTCTGCATCTTCTGAACCACCTACATCACCAGCCCCACTTAATCTTGAGGAAGAATATAATGATGCATCTTCTGATTCTGAGTATCAGGAACCTGAGGATGAATTGCAACCTGGTGATGATTTTGAAGAAGACCAGTTACCTCCTAGGACTAGGAAACCACCTGTTTGGCATAAGGATTATGTCACTGCTATCAACCAAGTTAGTCAGTACTGCATGACTAACTATGTTTCCTATGAACACTTCACTCCTCAGCAGAAACGTTATGCCATGAGCCTTACAGCCTTAATGGATCCTCAAACCTATCAAGAGGCTGTGAAGGAACATCACTGGGTCAAGGCAATGGATGAGGAGTCAGAAGCATTAATTGCAAATCACACCTGGGATCTAGTTGAACTACCTCCAGGCAAAAAGGCCATTGGTTCTAAGTGGGTTTACAAAACCAAACTCAGACCAGATGGTCAACTTGAGAGACACAAAGCAAGAGTTGTTGCCAAAGGTTTTACACAAATCTATGGCATAGACTTTCTTGATACATTTTCTCCAGTGGCAAAGATTAATACTGTCAAAACATTGTTAGCAGTTGCAGCAGCAAAGGACTGGATATTGCATCAAATGGATGTCTCCAATGCATTTTTGCATGGAGACCTTGAAGAGGAAGTGTATATGGAACCACCTCCTGGCCTTCCAGGCAGTGAGGGTAAGGTTTGTAGACTTAGAAAGTCTTTGTATGGTTTGAAACAGGCCAGTAGGCAATGGTTTGCCAAACTGACTGATTCACTGCTGAAGAATGGTTTTTCACAATCCATGTCAGACTACTCTATGTTCACAAAGAAGGTACAGGGAAGAAGTGTCATCTTACTTGTTTATGTGGATGATATAATACTTGCAGGGGAAAGGCTTGATGATCTTGAATTGGTTAAGCTGTATTTGAAGAAATCCTTTAAGATCAAGGATCTAGGAACTTTGAAGTATTTTCTGGGGCTTGAGATAGTGAGGAATGATGAAGGAATTGTTGTAAGCCAGAGGAAGTATTGTTCTGACTTGCTTCAGGACACAGGATATGCAGATGCCAAGGAGACTCAGACTCCAATCGACATGAAAGTGAGACTCAATTCAAAGGAAGGGAATCCATTGGAGAATCCAAGCTGTTATAAAAGGCTCATTGGCAGACTGCATTATCTAACCATCTCAAGACCAGACATTTGTTACACAGTCCAACAGCTAAGTCAATTTCAAGGTAACCCTCTTGACACTCATATGCAAGCAGCTTATAGAGTGTTAAGATATTTGAAGAAGTCTCCAGGACAGGGAATCATGTTTAGGAAGAAATGTGATTTCTCAATCACTGGATATAGTGATTCAGACTGGGCTGCATGCCCTGACACAAGAAGGTCCATAACTGGTTTTTGCACCTATCTGGGTGATTCACTTCTGACATGGAAGAGTAAGAAGCAGACAACTGTTAGCAGGTCTTCTTCTGAGGCAGAATATCGTGCTTTGGCACATTTGGTTTGTGAAGTGCAGTGGTTAAAGGAGCTGCTGTCAGAGTTGGGGGTGCAAATTGCAACTCCTATTAGCATCTTTTGTGATAACAGGTCAGCAATTCACATTGCTGAGAATCCTGTTTTTCATGAAAGAACTAAACATATCGAGATAGATATGCATGTTACAAGGGAAAGGATCAAAAGTGGATTGATAAAACTGTTCTACATACATACTACAGACCAACTTGCTGATATTTTTACTAAAGGGGTCAGCAGGTTCAGATTGATGGAATTACTTGGCAAGATGGGAGTAATCGATGTTTACTCGCCATCTTGTGGGGGCCTATTGGAAGAGAAAGAAGGAACCAAGTCTGCAGCAGTGGCTGTGATGCACAGCAATCCGAATGCAGTAAGGATTGGCTCGTGTCAACAACACAGAGATGATGGGCTCAAATGGAAGCGAATACGAGTTTGGAACTAGGCTAGCATTTTACCATGCGACGCCGTTTTACTTTGTTTTATTCTTTACTCTGCCAAATACAGAGTTTGTTGTAATAAACGAATCCACATTAACCACGTGTCCTGTGCGGGTTAATTGGATTTGAATGTTGGTTAATCACTGTACGCTGTTGATCCCCTGGTATTCTGTACGCTGTTCTTCTGTCAGAGAAACACCAAACCATGGGAGAGCAAGAACAGCAGGCAAGCGAGCAGCCGACGGTTGGTGGCTTAACCCAAGCTCAGTTCCTTTCCTGGAAACGTCGTAAGGTATTTCATCTCTCTCCTTCTCAGAGCTTCCTCTTCTGTTTTCTTAGGGTTCGATTCGGTCATTCGATATCCCTGGCTGACCTTTCTTACATATTGTTTTCGAATCCACCGGAACGAGAAAACCTACCCAGTTTCTCGATTGAAGCTGCAACTTCGCTGTTCGTCGTTATATCTATGATTTATGTGTAGGATGAAATTGAATTGAGAACAATTGGAATGGAAGCTTTGAAATTGTATTCGCGCAATCTGAGTTTCTGGAATTAAGGATGTGACTGGGTGTCGGACGAAGTTTTAATTCTAGGTTATTGGACGAAGTTATATTGAGGTTGAATGGCTTGGATGAGGAAAATAGAATGACCAAATATAATTTAACTCATGTGGGATTCTGAGAATTGCATTGCTTTTCTCGGTCGAACATCCAGGGGTTGTTGCGTTAACTCTAGAGTCTGAGGTTCTGATCTTGATTCGGGTGTTCTCACTTCTCAGTTAGGGTTCTCAATCTATTGGTGTCGCTATCTGGTTCTTCATATGATGCAATTATATTGTCTAAAAACGATCGTCATCAAACCTACCGACAAAGGAGCAATATGCTGGTTTATGTTGCATTAACATGTTGATTGCATCATGTCGGACTAGCGTATGATACTTTTGACTTGAACAGGGTTCATAAGATCCTCAGTTGTTGTGAAGTAGGAATCTTTGCATTGACCTGTTGATTGCCTCATATCGGACTAGCATATGATACTTGTGACCTGAACCAGGTTCATAAGATCCCCTCAGTTGTTGTGAAGTACATTAACCTGTTGATTGCATCATATCGGACTGGCATATGATTCTTGCGACCTGAACCTGGTTCATAATATCCTCAGTTGTTGTGAAGTAGGAATCCTTGTTGTTGTCCGAACCATGTGGCATTGAACTCTGTGGCTCCCATGTCATTGTTTTCCCCTCTTCAAAGCTTGTTAGTAGGTGATAAAATAGAAGACACTGGTTGTTCATAAATGTCATCCTTCAGGTGATGAAAATTATGGGTGGAAGTTGGGACATTCTGATTTTGCTTATAGTGGAAGAACTGCCACAAACTGTCTTTTGTTCAATTTAATAATAGCAAGTTTAAGTTGTCAGGTCTTACCAGCTTACCATGAACGGTACAATTTTGGATTTAAGAATGCAGTCTGCAATTTCCACCAGTCTCATGTCTCATATAGAGTACCTGGAATTCTAGATGCAAAGAAACATGCTATATACTAGGGAACATGCAGAGGGTGCGCTTATGTTGGACTTATGAAACAATATCAAATTATCAACCACTGCTGATGGAAGAAAACTAAAATGAACCGAGAACTTAGTACTAACAATGTATTTAAACACGTCTATCTACTGTTACAGGACATAGATGCCTCAACTAAGAAAGAGGCAGCAGTGAGGAAGCGGGCAGAAGATATAGCAGCAGGAAGAGTCCAAATGAACGGGCGGGAACTGTTCGTGCACGAACCGTGGGTGTTTGATAACACTCAATACTAGGACATTGCAGCTTTGGAACTTATGAAGCTGGAACAAGGCTTGCTGTGATAGACCGCATTCAGATGTATGCATCCGTGCAAAGCAATTGTGTTCAGTAAAACCTATCACTTGTGTAATTATTGTCAGTTGCAATGTTTGCACCAGGAGCATCAATGTTAGTGAACTGTGTGGCTCCATGAGAGTTGATTGATAGCGAATTACTCATTATTTGATTTGAATTTTTTTTATATTTTATTTGGAAAGAAGTACTTGATATGATCCCAAAGAACAAAACACATGGAATTTGGCTAAGTGTTTTGGATGTTCCAAGACACCAACTTTGGAGGCTCGGATCTCTCTATTTACTCAATGAAAATGGGTGTTCTTGGGTTTGTTTTGATCCTTGGAGATTGCTCTACAAGCTAGAGGGGTTGGGAGCTCAGGAGGAAGCCTCGAGGTGCATGTTCGAAGGCTTCCAAGCATGGTCAATGAAAACGTACTGGAGATCGTACTGGGAAAGTCAGCGGTAGGGTATTTTATGGTAAAATCGTGGTTAAATCGTAGTTCAACTGTTATGCCGGTAAATACTGCCTACTGATTTAGCCTCCGACACTGGTATTTCGTGGTTGAACCGGCGGTACGGTTTCATGGACACTGCTTCCAAGTTGCTATGCCAAAATTCAGAATCTGCCTGTTTTTGGCCAAGGCATTTGATGTGTTCAGGGTGCCATCTTTGGAACCCCATATCTCGAGTTTGGGACACGATCAGGCATTGATTCAAGTTGGAACTAAGACAAGAACACTTCATAAACCTAGGGAAGGCATTGGCTAAACTTGGTTCAACGAGGAAGATCATTTTCGAGGGCCTCAAAGAAGCTACCTCGCACTGCCAGTAATCCGAGGCTGATAAGGATTCCTAGTCCATTTCGGATTACAATTGTAATTCAGTTTGTAGTTGTTTAAGCTTATAAAAGGCCTCATTCACGAATTGTAACATTCAGAGTTGAATCGAGAAGAGAACCCCAAAATTCCCAACGTGAGAGTTGTGAGTTTGATTTGGTTTTGGTTGCGATCAAAACTTGCCGAAACCCTAGCCTATTGATTGAGAAACACACTCAATTACATCGAAGGCATCACTATAGCGATCGTGTAATCTTCCAAGTTCGATATTCCTCCTTTGCTTCCATCAAATTCCGTCTCAAACAAGCTTACCCGAGCTCGTTTGAAACTCTGTTTTGTGAGTTCTCGAATAAAGAAGCGTGGTTCCTTTGTTTGGCTGTGCAATTCCGATCAAACACCCACTCAGGGTGTTATTAGTACTAATGATATTGAAGTGTTCTTTTGAGTATACAAGCATGTCCTCGATAATAAGATGATCAGAGTAGTGATGGCGGTTCAGATTGAAAATTAGTGCTGTGATGTAGATATAAGTTGTGGGTATGTTATAAGCTTTTTGAATGAGTTGGAGTGGAACAACAAAATTGGTCTATAAAGCTAGTCGTTATAGTAATATTTCTCAAACTAATCTTGTACCATGTCAATAATATCCCATCCCATGATGATTCCTCCTCCAAGATTGACGTACTTGAAGTCCTCATTAATAAACTGGTCCTCACCTCTGATAATCTCTCTCGCTTACAAAGGTAGAATCTTGCACGAGGTTGAATTAGTGAAACACTAATCGACCCGGTGCATGAAGCCTGTCATGGATTAAGTGGTGTTCTCTTTACTAAGTACCAACAAAACTTTACCCTGCGTACTTGTGAACAACATCCTAATAATAGATGTGTAAAGTGGTCTCAAAACTTGTTGGGAAAACATGGACACATTCTGGTGCTTAGAGTTCAACATAGGGTTGAAAATTGGTCTGATTTATTCTTGGTTTTCTCTAGCCTGCTCTTGAAGGATCAATGCATATTACTGACTGACCCGCCCCGTTCCTGTCTCTTTCTTGACTCTGACTGATCCTCTAGGGTTGGAACACAGCGAGTCAATGGGTCGGTCCAAATCAATAAATAGATTTTTTTAAAAGATTACCTAAATATATTTTTTCTTACTTAGTAACTAAATTTCATTTTTTGTACAAATAGCTCCAAATATTTTGTTTTGGTATCTCTATATTTTTTACCTTGCATTATAGCACCTAAACTCTTAAGGGGTCGTTTGGATGAAGGATTGTAGTGAGTGATTTGTGAGAGATTTTAAAACAATTCCTCATTATGCAGGATTTTAATACATTTCTGCGTTTGGGAATATGAGAGATTGTTGACATCAGAAATTTAGAAAACCCTCAAGTGTGGGATTTCAAAATAGCTGATGGGGGTCAGCTATTTTGAAATCTCTCTTTTTTTTTTCTTTCTTCCAAACTTATCCTTCCTTCTTTTCCCTTCTGTTACTTTTCTTCCTCCACAATACCCAGCACCGGAATCTTACCTTCCAAACCCGTCGACCAGCGACGATCTCGCTCTCACCCGATTTGAACCATCGTCACTGCTCGCCATTGTCGTCGGTTGGTCGAGATTTGTCACTTTCCTCCGTCGAACAGATTTGCGACGAATCTTTTTGGTGCTGCAATCGCCGCTGTTTGCTGGTGTGAGTCGGAAAGTACGACCAGGGGTTCTCTGTCCTTATCTTTCTTTGCCGCCGACGATACCATTTTCATGCTTTGGTTCCATGATTTTGGCATATATGGTGTCCAATTTTGAATCAGTTCACGATTCAATTTCTAGGATTTCTAGTTGCTGTTGGGAGTTATAGTCTTCATGTTACATGAAAGAAGAAGACGACAAAGATGACAGAGGAACCCAATCCGATTGATTGCTGCTATTTTTTGGTTCAAGATAGTGGAATTATGATGCAGAGGAAAGGGAAGAAGAAGAAACAGATGCAAGGAGATGGGTTAGGGAATAACGATGGGTACAATTGTAATTTTAATTTTCTTATTAAAATCCTTCAGCCATTCCCAAACAAGTTATTTTAGTCAAATTCCACGTTTAAAATATCTAGGTTTTTAATCGAGAGATTTTAACCTAAATCCCTCATTTCTACATTCCCTAATCCAAACGACCCCTAAAACTTTACAAACAAGTCCAATATGTTGGTATGAGGAAATTCATATCACTATTGTTGCAATGGTTCGCAATGTCAAAAAGTAACTCGCCTCTAAGTTGACCTAACTCGACCCTTCTCTTACAGGCCCGTCCCTATACTGACACAACCCAATCCTCATGATCGAGGCGGGTCAGGGTTGGTCAGTGGGCCTCTAGGGTCAAGCTTACACAATAGTTCAACATGTAGTCCGAATTCCGAAAGCTAGCATGAGTGATGTAGTTGCTCCTGCCAGCTAGCCGATACTGCACCCTGTAATGTGTTCTTCAAATTGTATCTAAATGATTTTCCCCAAAAATGTCTTAGTTACTAAAAAATTCTCACAATACCAAACTTACACTAACGGGTCGTTTGCTTGAGGGTTTTGGTGATGGATTTGGTGATGGAATTCTATCCATCATGGACTTTAACAGAAATCCATCGTTTGCCTTAGGGAATTAGGGAGATGGAATTTGTGGGTCCCGCCACTTTTGGGGTTCCAAATCCGTGGACCCCACGGACTTGGAAGTTCCACCTCTTGAGGTGGGATTTGGGTGATGGATTAAAATCCATGATGGGAAATTACCTTTCTACCCTTACGTATTAGTTTAATTACAAAGTTGTCCTACTTTAATTCAATGGTCATGCAATTATAAACTTTTATAATGTCGTATGTTATATATATGAGAATTTTTCATTTCGTTTTGTAATATCATAGTTTATTTAAATATGAATGTATATGTGATTTGTTAGATTCAACTATAAACATCTTATGCTCGTCTTGTGCATTATTATTTGATTGATTGTCGGATTCCAAAATCGGGGAGTTAGCAAGAAGTTGATGAGTTGTAGCAATAAAGCGAGCAATTGGTTGCAATTGATACATAATATTGCGTACATTATTAGATGAGTTGTTAATTAGTGCCAAACTATAATACATTTCTATATTTGTAGTTGAATTATTAGTCCACATAGTGGTAAAGAGTTTAAAATTTCATTGTATGCGCGTTGGATTTTTTTAATGAAATTTATGGATTATAATATAGAAATATAATTAGATAAGATAAGGGTAACAAGGTAATTTGAATTTCATATCCACAAATCTATTCAAACAAAATCTATAATCAAATCCAACAAGCAAACAATAGACTTGGTCAAATCCATAATGCCACCAAATCCATCATATATCCATGGTTTTCCAAAACCCAAGTTTTACCAAAACCCTCATTTTTCAAATCAATGAAGCAAACGACCCGTAATATTTCCCAAAATACTAAAGCTTTAAAAGGTTCACTTAACACATAAGCGAACTATGAGCTAGTTCGCGTCACAAAGAAGGGGTCAACTTTGTTCATTGGAGGTTGAAGCGAACAACGAGCGGTTTGCTTAATTGATAAGCGAACAAGGTAAATCGCGCTGGGGTAGGGCGATTGGCATAAACCGATGATGCAGATCGTTAATGAATCGAGCAATGCACAACACGTGGTATCAGATCGCTCGGCTCAGAGGTGATCTACACGATTGGTCATTGATTGGCACATTTTTAGTGATGTGGATCGCGGGTGAGAAGAGCGGACAACAGTTGATCGCAGAATGCATCAGCGATTCGCTTGATTCGCTCCACAATACAGCAATCCGCTTACTTCCCCCAAAAACTATAAATACCCTCTCATTTGCATCACCACTCACAACAGTCCACTCTCTTCTTCTCATCCTTCCACCACTGAAGTAACATCCTAGTATGCTATGTGGTTGTAGCTAAACCCGATCTCCAACACCAAAAAGTTTTTCTATAGTTAGGTATATCACCCCTTCAAAACTCCCAAAGAATATTTGTCCAACATTTGCCAAAACTGGAAGAATAAACTCTAAGGATTTCCCCTCATTTTCCTTACTATAAGCGGTATTGTTTAGTATATTTGTCGTACAATTTTTATATCTTGATTTATGGATGAGAATCATGTATGAGACGCTATAAGACCAATAATGTCTTAGTAGTTTAATCATGATTGATCGTTGGAAATCATTTTTTGTTGCACTTAGAACTCTTTATGTTTTCATGATTTTGTAATTATCAAATTTTGACAACAATTTCCAACCAATTAAGGATTTCTTAGTATGATAGGTGGTTGCGACTATGCTTCATTTATTATATCAAGTTAAAAATTATGTTTATTTCATTCTAGAGAGGGCCGGAGATGCACGATCCTAGAGTGTATATCCATCCTAGTCCGAGAGAGTCATTTGTTGTGTGAAATACCTTAGTCATTTGAGCGGATGACTAGGTGAACACTCGACTATTTATCTCGTATATTGTTAAACGTGATAATATTTTTTTAATAGTTTAAAATTGAACTTTGACTCGCACGAAACTACACCACAATTAAACCCCAATTAGAGCCCAAGTTTTTAAACTCTAATCGGGTGCAGTATAGGGCAAGCATTTGGATATCGACCAGGGCTGGTCTGTCTACCCCTACTTCGTTGTTGAAATCATTATCTAGCGATAAAACTTTGGTTTAAAGGTTTGCTAATTTAAATGAAAGAAAGCAAAGGTAATTTGGTTTGAAAACTCTTTTGTGGGAAAGTCACTCGGGTTTCGCTTCCCCCTAACCGCTACCATGCTACGTGGATTGGAACGATTGCCTTGGGAACGTTAATCGTGAACCGCAGAGGAAAGCGTGTGGGGTTGAAGACCACAGTCTCAATTGCTAAACCGAGGTGAGGATGAAAGGCCGTGTCACTCGACCCTCTCGGTTTAGACAATCAGTAATCGACTTACTTCCTCACTCAACTCGAAGGTCGGACGGTTTAACCACGATTAATCGACTTGTTTAATTCAACGTTGGGGGTTGCTCTATCTCAACCTAGTTTAGGTGGCTTAGAAAGTGGAAGGAAAACCAACTCGATTGAGCCTCCCTTGAAAGGGGGATTTTCCTCTCTAAACTAGGCTAAGGTGACAAATTAGATTACTAGCACCTAAATGCACAAACTTAGAGGTGCTAAGCACAATTATACACAATCCCTAGGATGCTAAGCACAAAACATGCACAACCCCTAAGTTGCCAAGCACAAGCATGCACAATCACGGTGAATAATGCCTCAAACATTGAACTGAACAATACCCCATATCAATCATCCAAACCACATACAAGACAACTACATGGTAGAGTTAGGGTTTCACTACACCGAAGTGAAAGGAGGTCTACTCCATGTTAGAAGTGGGAAGAACAAAAGGGGAAAAGGTGGAAACCATCTTTTGGGGATGCCTCCTCTCTTCTTGACCCTTGAGCTGTGATCTCCTTGGGGAAATCTTTCCAAAATCTGCCTTGAAGCCAAACCCTAACCTTCTTCTTCCCCTTGGTTCTGTTTCTCTCACTAGAATGCTGAAGAATGTGTTTTTCTCACAAAAGTGGGCTCTCCCCCTCTCCTCCTTGCAGCTCGGCTTTTAAACCTGAGAAAGCTGAGTTCACGACCGTGAACCATCAAACGCGTCCGTGAACTCAAGAAGTGCACCAAAATGCTTCGCATCGCTCACGTCAGTTCACGGGCAACTGTTTGTGTTCACGGTCTTAGTGACCGTGAACTCACCTTGCGTCAGTAACCTTCACATTGGCTCTGGACGCCTAGCAATTCACGGTAAAGTCTCCTTCTTCACGGTCTTGCATGACTGTGAACTCCTTCAGTTAACCGTGAACTGGCGCTTTTTCACCTCTTCTCCTGGTTTTCGATCATTTTCGCCAATCTTTCGACTCCAGGGCTGGTTTCACCTGTTAAATCCTGAAACACACGAAGAACCTAGCGTAAAACCGACCTTTAAGGAACGAATTTGGCACAAACATCTAAGTAAAACGGGGGAAAACATGTGCAATTAGACCCGAATAACTCCCCCACACTTAGACGTTTGCTTGTCCCCAAGCAAACCATTTCACGCACACGGTAATATGTCAACCTACACAAATGCTCAACATAGAGCCATACAGCGACACAGTTCATCATGCAATGTCAAGAATACTACTAGAAAACTAGGAAATCACCACACGTCCATTACTAATGCTAGGAACCCCGAAAACCGAACAAACATAATCAAAACCCTTATATCTGAAACCACAGTGGTTTGATAGCCACCATCTCTGTCAATTTTAAGTCTCCAGCCAGCTTCCATTCGAGCAACCTCTACATCTTGATCAACAAATCAGTCCAAGCCAAGATCTTTTTCCCATAGCTTCGTCGACATCGCTCCCGCCATAGCTCACTTATCACCAAATTCCAGACCAACCTTGCCACTCTGCATCCTCCAAATCGCTCCACAGCTTCCATTAAACCTTCTTGACACCCTGCAGTTGGACAATAGTGCTAGCTTTGGGGGAAACATACTGCCATCACCTCCCTAACAAACTCACACTGGAAAAAGATGTGATCTCTTGATTCTAGATGGTTAGAACAAAGAGCACAAGTAATTTACCTGTTGGCTTCCATTTCTGAACCTTATCCAAAGGTATTGATTCTATTCAGAGTAATTAACCATGTAAGTAGTGAGTCCTTCGGTATACCAACCAGCTTCTAGATAAGAACATACCAAGGGACTTTTTCATTTCGTGGCCTCAAAGAGCTCCAAACTTTACTCACAGAATATCTCTTCATCACCTCCCCTTCCAGGACACTCCAGCTGGTGTTACCTCCAGATAGAGGTGGCAATTGGATCGGATTCGTGGATTCGTAGATTGGATTGGTGGATACGTGGATCAAATGGATTGGATCCAATGGATTGATCCATGAATCCAAATGACATCCAAGGCTTGGACCAAAATGTAAAATTTGAAA